AGACTAAAAATCTCTTTCAACTTAATTGGCAACAAAGTTGAATGCAAAAGCCTTATGAAGGTGTGAGGTTATGGGCTCGAATTATATATGACATGGAGGTGATGTGGTAGAGGCATAGTGATATGGAAGTGATGTGGTGGCAATAATGTGGCGATAAGGTTCTACTAGCCCATCGAGTGATGTGGCAATAATGATTTTTTTTTTAGAATTTTCATTTGTGAGAGAATGCATTTCGTCATAGAATTGGAGTAACTAATCCTTGATTAGTGATGAAAATTTTCCATCGCTAGTTAGTGATGGAATTACACTTCCATGACTAATTTTGTCACTAATTGTAACGGAATTTAAAATTTTGTCAATTAGTGATGGTGTTTTTATTGATGAACTCATTCCGTCACTAACCCATTTAGCAATTGAATTTGCATCGATTTTCCATTGCTAATTCACTATTTTTTTGTAGTGCTATATCAGCTTGCTTATACCATCAACTTCATTTTGTTTCCAATTAGATTAGCACTAATGATATGCTATATTTGTGTGTTATTCATATAAACTATGCTATCTATATCCTTTATGTTGTATGAAATTTTAAAAAATTACCCACACTATGTATTTATGATATTTTAGTAGCATGACTTGTTAGTTGTTGCGAATTTTTGGTATTTAACATCTATATTGATAACAAGTAAATAAAAGATAAATTAAAAAACATCAAGTCATAAGGATTCATATTTACGAGTAGTTATTCATGAGAACGTAGAATAATATAATCCAATTATAACATACAATAAGATATTTATTCAAAATACCAATCAAATCATATATGTGTGTGTGGGTGTGTGTATTACTTTACATCCATTTAGTGAAAAAGAAAATTTTAATGATACTTTTGGCCGTAAGAGTTTTTTTTTTTTTTTGGAAGAATCACTTTCAAATTTCATGTAAGAAATTTAGATGAAAAAAATCATGAAAATTTAAAATTATTATGAAGTTTTTCCTCTATTGAAGTTTTCAATTAATTGCATAAGCTGTTAATGGTTTCAAAATCCTTTATGTTACATTTAGATATTTGACAACCACAATAGAAAGCCTGTCTTCACAGGTTAATCAAATTGATAACCAAATGTAGAATTGGTATCAAAAACTCTCCAAATAAGAACAAAAGCTAGATGCAGAACTCTGCAGGTTCATCAATCAAGGATATGATGGATCAGAATACTTCAAAAAATAAAAGAAATTTCTAAAGTAAAGAAATAACTATAGCGAATAGAAGTAGATCTAGCCTAAGATCAATCTAGAATTATTTATGAGTCCTATCCTACTTTTCCCACTATGACTAGACAGTTTCCAACCTATACCTCCATGCATCCTACATACCCAACTAAGACTTATTACAGTAAAGTATTCAAAATGTCTTAAGTTCTCAAAAAAGCTTAAAGACAACCACCTTAAAAACCAAAGCCACCTGTGACCTATAATCGTTTTCTTATCAAAATCTCAAGATCATCAAGCCTCACCATCATTTGTTAAATCCAAAAAAACTCTTGATCATAAAGACACCACCTCCTTCTCCACCAAAAACCAAATCACCAGTTACATTTGAAAAGCTCAAAGGGATTGAAGATCCCTCAAATCCTTCTAGAACAATTGCTTCTATGAAAAATGCTATTTTTGACTAGGTTATTTCTGAATAAGAAGACTTAAACTCTGTGGGCTCAATTAAAGTCTCTATAAAATACACAGACTCTGAAACAAATCAACACTTGGTTGACTTATCAAAAATTGCAATGGTTCAACCTCAGAATCAACAATGAACTCAAGAAACTAGGACAAAAACAATTGTGAAAGATCCTTCTGATGAAGAATCTAAAGCTATGGAAGGATTTAAATATGATCTCATTTGTTAAGACTCTAATTTTAGACCTACATCTGGACCTTAGTTTACATTTGATGATTCACCTTTGTATAAATGGAGAGATAAACTCCAAGAATTTGGTACTTGGATTGATTTACAAATGACTAGACTTAATGTTACTATATGAGAAGTTCTTCTAGAATTTATTTCCAGAATGATTGGAAACTTGAGATAATGGTTCCAAACTCTTAGTGAATATGACAAGATCAGGGCTACTCAGCTTAATGGTTCTTAATTCCTTAGAGTAATTCATAAAGAATTTCTTCGGGACTTCAACATCATTGAAAAAAGAAGCAGATAGGAGTTCTTTGTAATGAAGTGTTGTTCACTTGCTCGTGAAGATCTTCAAAAGCATTTTTAATGACTGTCTGAGAAATATTACATGCTAAATGGTGCCAATGATGTTAATCTTAAGCATACATTCATTGTGTCATTATCAAAAGAACTTCAGCCAGAACTACAAAGGGCCATCAATGCTCTAAGAAGAGATATGTCCTAAATTTCTCTTGGTGAAATTTATCAACTGGCTCTATCCACCTTGGATAAGCTATGTGAGCAATAACAGTTCTTGGAGTCTATGTTGAAAGGAAAACCAAGATTGCAATCAGCTTGTAACAAACCTTATTTAAAGATTAAATGCAAATAAGCCAATCTTTTCTCCTTTAGATAGAAGACTCATTTTCATAAATATAGGTGTAAACATTTTAGATCATAAAAGCACCATCTCTTTAGATTTTTCAAGAAAAAAACTTCAAAATTCAAGAAATCTAACAGATGTTTTATCTGTGGACAAAAAGAGCACTTTGCAAAAAGGTGCCTTAACAAATCCAAAAAAGATATAAAGTTGTTACAGTCCCTTAAGACTGTTATACCTATTGATGATGATTATGATGTTGAATCTGTTCTTGAAGAACAATCAAAAAAGGATGAAGATACTTGCTATATTTTACCAATCTTTGATGATGACAACTTAAATGATGAACAATATCTCTATTATTATCCACCTCTTTATGCTATTAGGTCAAGCCCAATTCAAAGTATTAACCCATCTCCTTTAAACCTAATACCAGCATTTCCTATAAACCTTAATCAACCACCATATCCACCTCAATTACCACAACCTAATGGAAAATTTAGATATTACCCTCCAAATATGATGTCCATATTTCTGTCATCGCCTTCATGGATACCGGCTCTTGCAGAACTATCATGAAACCCCATATTCTCCCTTGAGAACAATAGGTCTCTCATAATGAATACTTTATTATAGCTGATGATAAACTCTGCAAGATAGACCTCATTACCAAGAGAAAAATTGGTATAAGATTTTTTTTTTAGATGCACTTATTGGACAAAAGTTCTTGAAAGAAATTTCCTTGCCAAAGACATTCTGGTTAGATTCAATGTGTATAGAGAAACTAAAGATCTGCAAATACTCCCCAAGGGTGTAAGGTTTAAATAGTTTTTCAAAAAATACAACATTCCAGGCATCATGGAGATTCAACAATCTCCTTTAAGATATGAACACATTAGGGATCAACTTCTTGAATTCTGCTGTGAAAGTCATGATCAATTCCATCATTCATCTCCTTTATGAAAAAACAGAGAGCTTTTCATTAAACTCCTTTTTAAAAAAAATGAAAATGTCAACCTAACAAAAGCATCCCATCCTAGGATGAATTCAGAAGACCTTGCTTTAGCCAAAGAAGAATGTGCAACCCTACTCAAATAAGGTCTTGTTGAGCTCACAAAGTCAAATTGAGCTTGTCAAGCCAACCAAATCCTTCATTTAGATATATATATATATATATATATATGCATATAAATTATGGATTTTCACTTGATTTAAATCTACATCCATTTTTTTATTATACTTTATTTTTTTAAAATTTCTAAATTTTATTTAATTATACTCCAATTTTCTTTGTTTTTTTATGTGTTTATTATTTAGTGCCTTTGTTAGTTTCATCTATGCTCTTCTCTCAATACAGGTAATAAACCCATCTCCCAATCTTTTGTCTCTAGTTTGAATGCCTTAAAATTAAAATCTAAATTGATCAATCTAAATGTTAACTTATCATAAGAGAAATACTTAGGTTGACTGGGTGCACTATGTCATTTGTAATCTATCTAATTAAAATATTTTAAATAATCTAAATAAAATTGTGTGTGACATTTTCTTAATTGATTTTATTTTTATAACAGAATGCACAATTAATTTCTTGCATTTTCTCTCTCTACTATTATTGATATTAGAATCAATTTATATTTAATGCTATCTAAATGTTATGTTTTTATTGGACAAACTATAAATGATGTGGTGTACCTGATCTACCTAAGTATTTCTCCTTATAATAAACCTTTGATGTTCTCTAATGTGTCAACAATATCTCAAAATCAATATAAATAATACTCTTTCCATTCCAAATTATAAGACATTTTTAGGAAATATTAAGCGTTTTAAAATATAAGACATTTTGATAAAAATAACATTCCATTAATTATGTTTTTTTAATATTACCCTTTCCATATATTTTTTCTTAAATATTCTTTTATCAATGGAGTATTAAATGAAGGGCATTTTTAAAAATTTATATTTTTGTCTTGAAAAAATAAGTTTATAAAATATATTTAATCAGCTTTACTGATATGTGAAATTTTGTCTAAAGTGTTTTATAATTTAGGACGGAGGGAATAATAATTATATAATATATATATATATATATATATATAAAATCTATGAAAAACTGCATTTAATCGATCACTCTCCACCATACGGTAATTTAGCAATTAACATTATATCCATATTAAGGAGACTATGAGGGGAAAAAAATATCAAATACTTAACAGATTGGACAAAAATGATTTATAACTATGATCATTAAAGATGATGGCATATACATTAATAGAAATGGATGTAGTAATGCCACCAATATATATATAAGGGAAGATTTAACTTTTGATCCTGTAACATTTTTCAATTATCAATAGTAAACCTTAAATTTTGACTTATAACAACTTATCCTCTATTATTTTGAAACTCTAAACAACTCCATCTCATAATTCTTTAATTCAACACAATTCATTTTCTTATAATTTCTTAATTTAATAAATCACAAAAACTGAATTGCATTGAATCAAAGTTAATAGACTAAATCTATGAAAGCATTGCATTGTTTACAATAAAACTGATCATTTCTTAAATTTGTGCAATGCATGCATAGGAGGCCACGAAAGATGCATATAATAATAAAAACTAATTCTGTCTAATTTCTTACAATAAAACAAAGTTCTTCTGCTTAGCTTCTTATGCGCTATCATGTCCTGTTTTGAAGTCCATTTTCGTCTCTAACATCATTCGAACGATCATCATTGTCTTCGAGGTCACTTTTTTCATCGTCAACAGGAGATTTGACGATGATCTCAACTTTATTGGATGATGACACGTGGAGGTTCTCTGATGGCACTATAAGGTTCTTCTTCATCTTCATCTCTTTGCCTTTGCCCCATAGAACTACGTATAATCCAACCACTATCAACACTCCCCCAATTATACTGCACATATATTTACGCCAATAATAATTAATTAAGATTCACCATTCCTCATTATAAAAATCAAAAATCAGGATTTTTTTACGCTATCCAATATCATACATTAATAGTAATAGTAACATTGTAATATTGTTGAGTTTCACTTGCATATTATATTATACCTCTGGCTAATTACCACTTTGCTAAAAAAAATGACATATTTAATCCATGCATTTCCACTTTCAAGCATGAGGGAACAAACATTATACTCAGATTCTTTTTTTATTGAAGGGGGAATTTGAATTTTCTAATTAATCAATCAATATGAAAGTATAATAATATTCAAATAATATAAAGAAAGTAATGTGAGTTTATGTTAGAGTGGGTATAATTAATTATGTAAACATTCAATCTGTTTGATGACCACTTGCCTTAGGTGATCCCAATTTTCAATCTTTAATATATAATAAGGGTGAAGTATTATGTAGCTTAGAGATAAGAATTCAAACTTTTTTTACATACAAAAAAAATGATTGGATCACAAGATGGTAACATTATTACTTTAAAAATAATGGCATAATTTATGAGCATCGGATAATGAAACGTGTGGTCTCTCAAGGCCTAAGTTTGCTTTTGTCATCAATTGAATTAGTCCATAAAATTTAGTTGTTATTAATCGAGTCCCTAGAGTTATATAACCATACACAATTAGCCCTTATAGTTTGAAGAAAAAATAACATCATAAAGATTAATTCTATATAGTTAAAAAATTTTAGGGACTTGATTGAAATAAATTAAATTTAATGGTCAAATCAATAATTGAGGCAAACATAAGGGACCAAAAATTTCATTATCTCTTCAATTCATTTCTTTTTTGAAAAAAAAAAGGAAAAGCTAAATGCAAATTGTAACGTTCTTATTTTAAACGTAACAACAAAAACAAAACTCATCAATTTGAATTTTATAAAAATAAAATAGACATAATAAACAAATTCAACAAACACACACATATATAAGGGGAATTAAAGACATATATAAGAAATATATATATATACCTTCCAAGACGAAGCGTTTCATCTAACAAGAAAGATCCAACAAAGGCCAATATGACAAGCAAAAGAGGACTGAAAATTGACACATAGAGAGGCCCTCTTTTGTTTGCACACCAAGCAATCATCACCACCGTTAATCCTGAAGGTACCATTCCCTACACACACACACACATTTAATTATAACAATCGGAATTTGGTCTTATCACATAGTTCTTCTGATTCCAAATTTAGGATTGAATTGATAATTGGAAAAAAAATCAGGAGCTAAAAGTTATATTTTTCCAAATATTTAAGCTCAATTCATAAATTGATAAGCTAATTTTAATTATATAATGGGAAAAACATAACTTTAAATCATTGTGTTTTACTCGTATTTTGCTATTGGTCCCTATATTTTTTTTAAATATTTTTGGTTTCTATACTTTTATTTTTTATTATTTTAAGTCCCTTCGAGGTCTTTATACTTTGTTCATGAAGGGATTTAAAATAATAAAAAATAAAAATATAAGGATTATAAATACAAAAAAAGTACATAAATTAATAGTAAAATGTGAGCAAAAGTTATATTTTTCCTATATAATGTCATGAAACAACTTAAAACACGTAGTATAAGTACAAGTTATTAAATATATCAAATCATAATTACGTTCGTTTCCAAGCAAGGTATATGAACTTGACTTCCTACATAATATATATATATATATATATATAAATATAATATAAATGTAGAATTGTTTTAGAAAAAATGTAAATGAGATATACATACCGCGTAAACCACAGTGAGAAGTCTAACATTCCAAGCCAATCTCCATTGACTCCAATCCTTGTCGTTGCAAAGAGCAAATACCGTAGATATCACTGAGGCCATCAAAGACATCAAACATGTGCTTGTGTAATGGCTCTTGTACTTGTTGCTCATCTTAGTCTGCCTCAATTCAATTACAATCAATTAATACATGCACACACAATTACTATTATGCATGCATGTATGTATGTATGAGAGTGTTTTGAAAATGCCTTCATAGACATAGGCCACAAGAGCGCTTTTTATTAAAAGAGCTCTTGTAAGATGATTTATAAGAATGCTTTTATTCAAAGAAGTTCCTACATACCAAAACGTGTTAAATGGTTAAATGAAACGCTCTGATTAATATGAACCTTTTGTAGACTATAGTGATGACTTAATCTTGATACTGTACAACTACACTAGCTTTCAATGACTTTTTTTTTGTTTAAAAAAAACTAAATGATAACTATATAATCAATGTATTTGTGACATGGTTGAAAGAAAGTTTTCAGGACACAACTAAGTAGAGTGGAATGGCAATATATAGTAAATAACGGACCTGAACTATGAGCCATATAGCAAAAGAGACACTGCTGCCTAAGGCACAGAGTGCACCCAGGATGGTGTTACCACCAGAGGAAGAATTTGATGATGCCACGTGGCCATTGTTGTGATGCAAGAGGTTGACGTGGAAGGAGGCAGTGTGTATTCGTGCACCTTTGAAGAATGTTAGGAGCATGGCCCCACCAACTCCAATTAGAGTTCCCATAATCTTTGCCTTTCCTGCTCCTGATTTTAGGTTTAATCTTTCTAATCTGATACATAACAATATTCAAATATATGAATTGTACACAAGTTTATATAATTAAACTATATAATTTTATTTATTTTTAAAAAAATCGATAGACTTCATTATTTTTTAAAATCAATAAAAAAATTTCTAAATGATCTTAGAATAACATAAAATTTCTCTTCATTTATAAATTTTCTTTAAATCATCATTAAAATGAATATTGAATTGCCCAAATCTCTCTGCTTTTTTTTTTCTCTCTCGAAATTACACAGACCTCCACTAGCTATTTTAAACCTATACACAAACTTCCTTTGAAAATATAAAGAAAGTTTGCGTGATTTTGAAAAACATAGAATAGGTCTATGTAATTTGTTTTGAATAAATTATAAAAATTAAGAATGTGTAATTCAATAAAAAGTCAAATGTGATTTGTGTATTTCAATTTACATTTTGCCTTTAAATGAGGTCTACATCTCTCATTAATTCAGAAAAATGGGGGGAAAAACGAAATGAAAATAATGAAGATTATACCTGAAGCAGAGGGCCAAGAGGAAAGTCATGACAGGATTAAGATTTGACATTGCTGAAGAGAACGTCACTGATGTTAATGCCAGCGTCTCCAAATATAATGTCTGTCCCAGCGTTCCTCTGTAATATATATATATATATATATATATATTAACATATTTTATTAATATAGGATCCTCATAGATATATATACATGTATTATTTTAATTAATTTTTCTCCAATAAAATACATAATCTAGCAAATGGATATTAAGCAAATATTTTCATTTCACTTCATTTGACAGTAAATAAACCAAAAAGAACCTCTTAGGATACAATTTTACATAGAATAAATTATTTTTCATCATATTGATAACACACACATGTATATATATGTAAACATATTTAGGGCAAGACTTAAGTATTTAGCTTTATATATTAATGCATGTTTATCAAATCAAATTAAAATGAGTAAATTTTAATGTATTAATAATATTAATAATGAGAGTTTATTATAGAATAAAGAATCTATTTATCATGATTTAATTGAAAACAAGTACATTGTTTAATAAAAAAAACAAGAGTGTTAAAATAATAAAAAATACAAATAAATGAGTCAAATATACTTTATTCAGGATGAGATTTAAAAATTATTTTTTGGTAGTTGGTATTTTTTTAAAAAACAAAACTAATTAACATCTATGCTCTCTTTGTAATAATCCGTATAAGCATTGAAAGTTGTGCTAGCTAGGATACGGGTTTGATCCCGCTTTTAACCTTAGCCGTTAGGGTCTACTCCTTTAATTCAAAAAAAAAAAAAAAAGCAAAATTATGTGGCATCCGTTCATGGCTCTTTCAAAATATATTAATATAAACAAATATATTACATACCCAAATAAGCCACACAGAGTCGCTTGAAATAGTACTGTCCAAGTCATCTTTGATTTGCTTTTCCTGCAATTAATTAATTGAATAACAATTACTTCAAAGCTCTTTGACATAAACCAGCATGCTCTTAATTTACTTCTTTGAAATAGACGCAACACAAGTGATTATATTATTTCCATATTAAATTTGGTTAGAGAGACATTGGTTGGACCCAACAAATTTAACATGAAACATATATAAATGAGATTGACATCACATTTCAAAGTATTAGTAATGAGTTTATGTCTCTTTTTCACTTATTATATACTTCTTTTCTAGTCATCCCAACAACTTTAACATGAATGTGTTTTTCATGTGTGTGAGAGAGAGAATCGAGAATCTTGGAACATGAATGTGTTTTTCATGTGTGTGAGAGAGAGAATCGAGAACCTGTCCAAGATGAGAGCAAGAGGAGCCATGAAAGCAGTGGCGAAGATGAAGCGATAAGCGATGAGAACTCGGACGTTCATGCCGTCGTAGACGGCGAGCTTGTACAGCACATTCATGACAGCATATGATAACTGCACCATCACCATTAACGCCGCCGGCTTCATCCCTTCCACCACCTTCCACACATCGTCACATGTCATCGTCATCATATATATATATATATATGTTGTTGTTGTGTCTGACTGTCTGTTGTTTCCACCACCTACGGCGGCGCCACCAGCCACTGCACTAATCTTAGAGCGAGTGAGAATGAGAGAGAGAGAAGTGTTGTCTGTGGCGAGAGATGAAGAGGAACGAGGAGTATTTATGGAGAGGCAAAAATACTGAAATTCCATGGAAGCCATGTTGTTTTTGGTGACTCTGGTGCATGCCACGTCACCAAGTATGCGAGTGCTGTGAAAACAAAGGGACCTGATTCTTTCACAATCATGGGGCTGATTAGATGGACAGACATAATAATTCAAGCCAACCTGAATAAATTTAAAAAAATTTAGAACCAAGTAGCAAAATAAAATAATGCTGTTTTCAATCGTTCCGTACTTAATATCATCCATCGATTTAAATATTTGCTTCATTTAAGTGTTTTATAATATAAAATTATTAATTAATATATTTATCTTAATGTCATAATTAGAAATCTTATACCATTAAACTAAATAAATAATTAAATAGATAGATGTGTTCGGATATATGAAGTGATGAGTCGAGGGAGTGTATATTGCAAATTCATAAATTACACTTTATAATTGTCCCTCATGTTTTTCAGTAAATTATGGAAAAAATTATAGACAGACGCTAAATAAGGAAATTAATTATTTTCACAATTTTAATTTCATGCCAAACTTTTATATTTACAAGTGGATGGGATTTGTGACATTGAATAATTAATTTTCTTATTTAAGTGCTATATATATGTAAAAGCAACACTTTAAGCAATTAATTTTTTGTTTGCGGGGTTTGGATTGTTAGCCGTTCAGTCCGATTCCATTTTGTAAAAAATTGGATTTATGATATCTAATATGAAATTTAAATTCTCTTAAAAGTGTCTTCCAAATGAGGGTCCAATGATCTCTAACGATATACATTGATTTTAGTGGAACGGACTATGGTTGTTTAAATGCAAGGTCTTAAATTTGAGTTTGTATGAATACATAAATGTTTTTGAAAGAGCTAACTTCTAAATGAGCCCAACAATACTTGAGTCTAGCTCGATCTGGTATGATCTAATAATCTCCTTAATTAGCCATTCAATTCCATTTTATTTTTTTAAAAATAAAATAATTCCAAAGCAAAAAAATTCATCGCAAAATGTAATATCAACTCATTTATATTCTCACTTGTACCTAATATAAAATAAACTTAACCAATTTCACGTCTATTAAGAAAAAGAAGTTGCGTTCTTGAAATTGTTAAAAAAATATTAATATTCTAATTTTTCTTATATTAAATATTAGGAATTTTTTAAAAAAAATTTGCCCAATATTAAGAGCTTGTTTTCTAAAAATTTAATTAAAAAAAAAAAGCCCAATGAGTATCTGTGCGACCCAGCGTTTCCCAATATTGCGAGCGCGCATATAAAAAAGTCTCTTTCCAAATGCGTGCTTTCCCAACAAAATTCCACTAACACCAACCCACATGTAGTCGTACTGGTAATACGTACTTTAATTAGGTTAAGAACCGAAACTGATATCCACCTCTCAAACGAGATTAAAATAAAATTGCGAGTAATATTAAATTATAGCATCCATGATTTATGTTATTATTATTATTAAATTATCATGTAAAACTATCGGCTTGTAGCCAAGTGAACTTTGTGGAACGAGATGCTTGGTGGGCTTATTACAATTTAACAATTTTGTGGGCTTGTGATAACAATTACGATCCCATGAACCATTGATGCTTTTTGTCTTGGCGTCTTCCTCTCTCTTAGGCTCTTAATTTCTATGAAATGTGATATCTAAATAGTTAAATATATTCTTAATCTTTTAATTTTATATAAAATTTTATCTTAATTTTTTAATTTTATAGTATCTTTTCAATCCTTTAACTCTAATATTATTAATTTTAAATAATTATTTTTAACTAATTATTGTTATTTTTTTAAAAAAATTAAACTTAACATCTCAACAGTTTAAAATAATTTTTTAATATTTAAAAATTTAACGTCAAAAATTTTTGTTCGTGAAACTAACGGCATGGAGACCAAAGAATCAAAAAAATACTTTATAAAATTAAAAGATTAAATTAAAATTCTGTATAAAATTAAAAGTCAAAAATATATTTTAGCGGTATCTAAATTAATTAATTATGTCCTTGGTTTTACAATTAAAAATTTTTAAAAATGATGAATTTACATCTAAATCAACTAGCAAGATCAGCCGGCAGGCACATCAAATTATAAGCAAGTGAGTCAATCTATTTAGCTTCACTGTTTATAATTTTTAAATAGTATATCTTTTTATAAATCAATATTTTATACAATAAAATTTATGATAAATTGCAATATTGCACTATTTAAAAGCTGTAAACAGCATGACCTTCCGCAATCTATCTTATATTGTATATAATTATATAGATATTGATACTAAATACAGGTGAAATAAACAAGTAAATCAAAATATATTAATAAGTTCAGGCCAAAAAAATATATATAATATATTGAAGCAACTGCAACACCAATCAACTACTGATAACACGTAATATGTCTCCATGTCTCTTCTCTCGAACACGTGTATTCTCACAGCTCGCAGTCGATGCTTGAATATTTTTTAATATTAGATATCCTGACAAGGGTACGGATGGAAATCCACAATAGAAAAAACAGTGCAAACAATGCAATTTACAAAATGTAAGATCTGCTATAGTTATTAATAAATAAAGGTTAAATTAAAAAGTCACATATTTTTTTAAATAATTTTAAAGATATATAACAATGATTTCATAATAAGTGTGAAGTTTAACTTTGTGTTATATTAAAAACTTGAGTGATATTTTATAATTAATTATGTATTAATTAAGGGTGCATATATAACTTAAAATTGTAATTTTTTTAAAGAGTAATATTTAATTTGCATCACAAAAATCTAAGTCAATTCTTCATTGCCAGTGGATTGTAGGACCACTGTTTTGAGTTATTGCCATCGTCAGAAACTTCTAGTCACAGAAGACAAGCAAATTCCATTTTGCATATAGTAGTACCCAGTTTGGCTTTCACTGGAACAATTAACCATTGACTTTGTTCTTTTTTTTTTTTTTTGTCCTTTTCAAAATTTTCACTTAACTCAGCACGTTAGCTTGGCTCGTTGCTTTAATGAGATGCCTTGTGGGCTTATGAAAATTTAAACAGGGTTTTTTGTGGGCTTTGTATAAACTAAACAATATTTTTGTGGGCTTGTGATGACATTAACGCCCATAATGTAGCACTGATCGTTTTTGTTTTGGTGTCTTCCTCTCTCGTATCTTCTATGAAATGGGTATCTAAATTAATTAATTGTGTCCTTGGTTTTACGATTAAGAATTATAAAAAATAAATAAATTTTCATCTAAGTCAACAAGCAAGATCAGCCAGCTGGTACATCAAATTATCAGCAAATGAGTCTATCTATTTAGCTTCGTTGTTTTTAATTTTTTAAATAGTAGTATATCTTTTTTATAAATCAATGTTATATATAATAAAATTTATGATAAATTGCACTATTTAGAAGATATAAACAGCATGACCCTCCACAATCTATCTTATATGGTATATAATTATATAAATATTGATATTAATACAAGTGAAATAAATAAGTAAATCAAAATATATTAATATATTGTGGCAACATGTGTATTCTTACTGCTCCCGTCTACATGCTTGAATATTCATTCTCATGAAAATGATTTTTTTTAATCACATTCCATTACAATTAAAAAAATAATAAAATTTACAACTTTGAGAAACTAGTTCACAGAAGATTTATGTACATATATATATATATATATATATATTAGATATCCTGATTGTTATAATTGATTATATTGTTAACTATGACATATGATCACAGTATTGTAATTGATTAAATCTAGTTTTAGGGTTTTTACTCAAATTTTTTTAATCTAATTTAATTTAGTAACCTATGATGACTAAATTATTTTTAGATAAACAACAGACTAAGTTGACCATACGTGCACACAAACTTATAGATTCCCTATTTTTTATTTGGTCATTATCATTGTGCCAACTCATTAGTAAGAAGAATCCCTAACATTAATTTTGATTTATTTTTACTATTCTTTATGCTTTTAATTCTCTAATTTTGATCAAGAATTTTAGAAGATCATAAGCATGGCAAGAGATATTTGAATCATTCGTTGCGCTAATTAGATAAACAACAGACTAAGTTGACTATACGTGCACAAAAACTCATAGATTCCCCATTTTTTATTTGGCCATTATCATTGTGCCAACTCATTAGTAAGAAGAATCCCAGTTTGCAGTCAAACATTATTGCATACGCACAGGTCATCACAAGTATAAAATATTCTTGAGCTATTGTTCTCACAAGGATTTAGGAAAGAGAGAGATAAAAATTTACTATTAAACTTTGAGTTAGGTTAAGCAAAATCAAATGTAAGATTTCTATAGAAGTATGAAAATTGAATTAAAAAAGTGTTTTAAAGCAAGTAAATTAGTTGAAACTTTGACTTCAAGAAATAAGAACCTAAGATTATCTCTCTCCTTTGTGTTTCATAAGACTTTAATTAATTCCTCTCATAACAATTTTTAATGAAAATAAGTATTAGTCTAAGATTGTAATCTACTTAAAAAAGCTTTCTTAAGTCAAAATCAAATATATTTACAAACACCAAAATTTGCAATCTCTTGAAAAAAATTAGTAAAAACAAGGTTTAAGCCCTAATCTTAATATGACTATGAAGAGTTAATAAAATATCTCTATTTTATCCAATAAAACCATCCATTTATCTTTATAAATTTCAAGTCCAATATTATTTTATCCAAGTTCTATATCAAAGTTAGCTTTCTTAAGCACAACTTACATAAACAAAACAATTCAAATGGTGGCCAAACACTTATAAGCATTAAGTATAGGATAAAAAAAAAACACACGCACACACACACACACACACATTATTAACTATCACAAGAGAAAAGTAATCAAGTCTTAATCCATATAAAGGTTTGAAATAATCTTAGAATAGCTACTCATATTTAGAAGAGAGCAACAAATATCAAATTGTTCAATGCCCATATTAGAAACACAAGGAGAAAAGGGAAAAGAAGTTAAAAACTAAAGGAAATCCACTTGAATCTCTTCAAATCTTCATTCCTTCGTCATATTTCCTTCACACACCCAAAATCCTAGTAGAGCTAACCTTCAACAACCTACAAAAATCGTGTCTATGTTCGTGGAGGCATGGAAATTATTGAACCTTAGTTTCGATGATTACAAAATAAAGAGAAGTTTTGAGCGTTTTAGGTTATTTAACTTTAACCTAAGTTAATTGGCCTAACATTAATCTAAACTGGCTAAGTTTAAACTTATTCATATAACAGAAGTTCTCTTATCTAAATATCTCTTTGTTAATTAAGTATTTGACTTGACTATAATCTATGTGCTTGATGTAATCTTGTTTTATAAATTTTTTCTAAGTATGCTTAGCACCGGTATTGAAAGCTTTAACACTGGTGCTACTTGAATTGTTTTCACATATCTATTAGTTCATGTTTCATATAACACCGGCCCTACTTGTTCTACTGCTGGTGTTATCCTTTTAAACTTGTGCAATTGATTCTCCATTCTTTAAGTTCTTTTCTTTGCACTAGTACTATCTTTTTAACATCAGTCTTATTCATCTTATGTCTTTTTTTAAGTTAAAACAACACTTGTGTTTCTTAATAGCACCTGTCTTAAATTGATAACTTTGTTTATAACACCAGTGCTATTTGTATAACACCGATACTCTCCTTTTTTCTGTTATGAGAACTTTTATTTGATTATATAGCTTTAGTGTTATCTTCCTTTAACACTGGTGCTAAGTTATCTTTTAAAAATATCCTTGTTCTCTAAAAAATGTCAAAAATCTTAATCCTTTACTATGATAGATTACACCAAAACTATTAGAACAACACCCATGCTAAAACTCTTAACCAAAGCCTGTTCATCATAGTAATATCAGCGCTGAGACACTATAACATCGGTACTATATTGCATTTTCATGTTCTATTTTTTGTATCAATTTTAAATCTTACCAAAACTCATCTTTCAATCTTTCTTTTCATTTGAAATCAATTGTGTTCACTTTAAATATTTACTTAATTTTATTTAGACACAATTATTTCCTTGAAGTTATTCAGTTTGCTTATCTTTTCTTGTTTTATCAAGTTTGCCTTCTGTTATATCAAAACATATAAGCTTTATCCACTTTTGTCAGAAGAATTTAATGTTTTAGCCGTTATTGTATAAAAGATAAACTCTCTGTCGTAAAGTACTGTTCCATTACCTCATCCAATAGAGAACCTTAGCAAAGCTCAAATATCTAAGGAAAACATGAAGGAAAGAAGAAATCAATTTACAAGCAACCTTTAATGAAAAAATTTATGAGTCTAACAAATCATTTATGATTCTCAACTATAAATAAACTTATTTATGAAACTTGTGAGAAGTATGAACGACATGAGCCAACAAGAAAATTTTGTGATTACTTGAGCATTAAAGTTTACTTATCTATATATCATTTATTTTTTGAGAACTTAATTGATCATATATATACTCTTAGAGAGAGTTGAAAATCAGTAATAGTTCATTCTTGAACTTACTTTGTTTATCCTTGTTTTACATCTTCAAAATAGAGAAACTTAAGCTCAGGGAATTTAAAGACATTTATCATTACCTTTGTAAAGGGGAGAATTTCAAACTTATTATGAAGTTTGTTGATGTACTGAGGCAACCAAGAGCCTAGATTAATCTTAGTAATATAGTTGAAAATCTCAGAAAGTTCTTAGGGACTAGACATAGACTTAGCTGGTAGGAGTTGAACTAGAATAAATCACTCCTATCAAGCTCTACTCTTCTAACTCTTGTGATTGGTGATTTCATTCCTTCATTACTCTTATTATTACTACAAAATCTTGTCATTTATTTTAATTACCACAATTCACCCCTTCTTGGGGCATTTACATAAATTATCATATATAACCCTAAGTTTCTCTTTAGTAGCTAAAATACATAATAACAGTTTTGCTTTATATGCCACAGCATGACTCCATGTGCAGCGGTAGAGCGATGAGTTGCTTACACTTCAAAATAGCTAAGCTGACACTAATATATAAGTACTAGTGGTGACCTAGATCATTCTTCACTAAAGAGGCTAACTAAGGTTAATTAAGGCTAACTAGTGAACAAAACTAACTAAAAATTGATTGATTTTAACTAATTAAACTAAACGGTCATACTTAATTAAAAACCTAATTAACTAATGGAATAAAAATGTGAGTATTTAACCCTTTTTAAAATGGAGTCCTAGGAGTTATGGGATGTTAGACTCCTTGTCTAATCTTTTTAATTAGGCTTAGGTTAACTTTCACTTTCTTGACTTAATTTAAACCCCTTATACAATTTTGTATAAGTGTGCCTTCCAAAGCAATTTAATTAACTAAGTCCTTGCACAATTTTGTATAAGTCCCTAATTAATTCTTTAGCTAGTTGCAAAGTAATCAAAATTTCTCCTTAATTCCCTTAGGTGCAACTTGGCCTTAAGCATGTCCAATGCACAATTTTGTACACAATACAATTTTATCAAATGCCAAACAAACATATTTATGCATAGTCAATACAAGACACATTCAACACACATAGAACATATATTTATATAAATTACAATGTATTAGAAAATTTTTTTAGCAATTACATAAAGGAGAATCAAATGAAAAAATAACAAACTATCAAGTGAAATATCAATTTTAGTCAATAAGAACAAGATATAATAATGCTCCTAATTTTAAGAATAAGATTACATCAACCTAGGTTTGATTGGAGAATGAGGCATCCTTCATCTTTCTTTGAGACACTTCAAACTCCTTTAGCATCCTTCCCTCCTAACACTCCTTATAGATTTAGCCTCTAGTCATCTTGGAATCTACTTGAGCACATCCCTTCAAGATAGCTTAAATATGCTCCATGAAGTCCTTGAAGATTTTGAAGCCAAATAAGAAAAAATGAAGCTTAGAGTTGGAAGAGTGATGTGAGAGAAGAAGAATAGTGGAATTAGATTAGAGTTTTGATGGTTGGATCATGAGTTATGAAGGAGAGAAGGTGAGATGGAGATGAAGAATAATGTAAAGGATATGGAGGCTATTAGTAGTGTGATTTTTGCTGAATGGAGTAGAGGTGAAATGCTGAAAATGAATTAGGTTTATTTAATTTAAGCCTAGGGTGAATGAGCCTAACTCAAGCTTTAATGGTTTAGGTAAAAAATGAGTTAAGGTAAATTTAATCTTTACTATGATGAATTGGAGTGACCTAGCCAAAATTGACAGTGAGTATGGTTTGAAAATTTGAATTGAAAAGAGATAAAAATAATGGAAATTAAGAGGTAATGAATGGAATCAAAGTATGGTATAATGTGTGCAAGACCACTAAAGGCTTGCACCCCAAAACTCAAGTATTTTTCCTCTTAAACTTATCTAATATTCTAATCCAATGGTCCTTATGTGCCAAATTCAAGAGTACAACCCTACACAAATAAATATAACACATAAGATTAAAGTTCAAAGCATATGGATAATATTTACATTTTCTAATTAAAATTAATTCTCAAATATGTGGCATAATGCAAATTAAATAATAAAAACCAATTATGACATCACAAAAGAGGTAAAAAGGGCATGACTTTTTGCCTAAAAATGTAAGCCCACACTATTCACCGTCAAGCGTTATTGCAAGCATGCAGGTCATCACAAGTGTAAAATATTCCAGAGTTATCATTCCCATAGAGATTTAGGAAAATAAAGGTTAAAATTTACTATTAAGCTTTAAGATAGGTTGAGCAAAATTAGGAGTAGGTTTGATGAAAATTGGATTAAAATTATTTTAAAGCAATTAAAACTTGTTGAAACCTTGATTTCAAGAGGTGAGGATCTAAGATTATCTTTCTCATTTGTATTTCATAAAAATTAAATTAATTTCTCTCAAATAGATTTTTAATGATAATAAGTGTTAATTTAAATTCTAATTCACTGAAAAAGCTCTCTCAAGTCAAAATAAAGTACTTTTGCAAACACTAAATTTCACAATCTTTTAAAAATAATTAGTGAAAATAAGTTTTGAGCTCTAATCTTAATGAAACTATGAAAGATTAATAAAATATCTCTATTATACCAACAAAACTATTCATTTATCTTTATAAATTTCAAATCCAATACTATTTCATCCAAGTTCTACATCTAACTTAGCTCTCTCAAGCACAACTCAAGTGAATAAAACAATTTAAATGATGATCAAGCACTTAGAAGCATTAAATAAAGGATAAAATAAACACATCTATATATATATATATATATATCATTAACTACCAAAAAAAGAAAATATTCAAGCCTTAATCTATACAAAGGTTCAAAATAATCCCAAACTAAACACAAAAAGCAAGTTTAAGAACTTGAGTTGCCTCTCAAGAGCGCTTGATTTAGTCTTTTAGCCTGATTCTTCACTTTCTTAAATTGCATTAGATAATTGGATGGTGGATATTTGATAATCCACTTCACCGCCCCAATAGTGCTTCAGTTGTTGGCCATTCATTCTAAATATTTATCGCCGCTGAAAGTCAATTTTTTTATAGTGATGTGACGTGATTTTTCCCATTTCGTAGTGCTTGATTTCCATTTTCTGGTGAATATTCTTGGCTTGAAGTACTAATATTAATATTATTAAAATTGTAGCTGCTCTTGTGGCCATGGGTAGAAGATTTGACGATGATTTCAAGTGAAGGGGTTGATGACACGTGGAGGGTCTGTGATGGTACTGAGAGATTCATCTTCTTCGTCTCTTTGGCTTTGCCCCATAAAACTATGTACAGTCCACACACTATCAGCACACCTCCAATTATACTGCACACCACGGATTCACATTATGAGCCAAATCATTGATTTACATCGAAAGTGTATATAAAATATAAAATACTCTAAGAAGTTGTATTATTTATAAATTAATGAACTATATATGTCTCATTTCTTAGATTTCATACCAGTTATTACTTGATTTAGCACGGGTGCATGACAATAATAACAACCTTAATTCTCTACTTAGATTGGCATATTTGGAAATAAAGTGATACAAAAAAAAAATATTATACGTTTCTATATGAAAAGGTAATTGTTTTTAGAATCCAAATTTCACAATTCATATAATTGACCTCAAAGGGAAGACGCTTTTTGTTTTATGTATTTTTATATATGGCCCTACTTGACTTGGTAAGATTTGAGCATTGTCAAGCTTAATTGAGAAAATTCTTTCAAAAACATTTTCTGCATTTATGCATAATCTCAAAACCTTATGTTAATCATAATCACTTTCATTAAAATCAATGCTTGTTGGGGTGGGTGGGTGTGTATCATTAAGTACACTTTGGCGTAGTATGATTGATGAAGCTGACCTCGCTTATTATGAACAAGCTAATTGTTGTTGCTGATAAAAAATAATTTTAACTAAGTTTTCATAATTTCCATCTCGGGTTTTGAGAATCTCCAATCTCCAACTTATATCTAAATTGAGACATTTTTATCCATTGACTTGCTCTTTTTATAAATGTTGCGTTAAAAACTTAGTTTTTAATAGACATTTTAAAATTTTGAATCCTAAAGCATCATTATCTTTCTCAGTTGGTCTCAAATTGTCATTTATCAATAATATTGAAGGTGCAGAAATATATACCTTCCAAGATGAAGCATCTCGTCCATAAAGAAAGATCCAACAAAAACCAAAAACAAAAGCAAGAGAGGACTGAACACTGATACGAACAAAGGCCCTCTTTTGTGTACACACCATGCTATCATCACCACATTCACTCCTGCTGGCACCAGTCCCTACACACACAATAATTAACTATATAGCCACACATTTGATTTTAAACATTGATGTATTTAACTGGATTCTGTGTGTGTGAGAAAATTAGATTTAACTTAAAATAGGAAATTAGATACCATTTTATCTGCAGAAATCAGATTTAATTAAGGGGGTTGTATTGCCTGAATTTACAAAATTTGTCTCAAGTTTTGACTTGTTCAGTTTGTCTCTAACTGTTTCTGTATAGGTTGGTTTTTTTGAGTTATGATGGACTGGACTTAGAGCTGGTTCTCAGTCCAATTGGTTGAACGGCCAATCCGATCTAGTTTTGAAAATTTGTGTATGCATAATAATTGATGTTAGCATAAATTAATACCCTAGCCCGCATAATAAATTAGAGTACTCAATGACACTATATGTAGTTGTAATCTTTCATTAAAGTGTGAGAGTGTGATGAGTTGTAAATACAATTAGATTGATTCCTGAAAAACAAAGAAAGAGTGAACATACCGCATAAGCCACAGTTAAGAGCCTTATATTCCAACCTAATTTCCATTGAGCCCAATCTCTTTCAGTGCACAGAGCAAAGGCAGTAGAAAACACTGAAGCTGACAAACTCATCAATGTCGTGCTTGAGTAATGACATGGATATTTCTCACTCATCTTGCTCTGTACAATACAAAAAGGAAAAAAAGAAAAAAAGATTGGTAACTTTTGGTAAACGACAACGTGAAGAACCAAAACGACAATGTTAGAGCAATGGATGACGAGGGACCTGAACCATGAGCCACAAAGAAAACGAGCAGATACCGCCCAAGGCACAGAGTGCACCCAAGAGGGTGTTACCGCTGGAGGAAATGTGGGAAGATGCCACGTGGCTACTGTGGGGGTGTAAAGGGATGACGTGGAAGGAGGGAGTGGGGATTCGTGCTCCTTTGTAGAATGTTAGAAGCATGGCCCCAGCAATTCCTATAAGGGTTCCAATCATCTTAGCTTTCCCTGCTGCTGCTCTCCAGTTGAACTTTTCTAAGCTGGCCATAAAAGGGAATTAAATTTTAATTAACAAATTTAGTCAGTGTTCTTGAAAAAAAAAAAGAAGAAGAAATTACAGTTTAAGACCTTACGTTAAAATATTAAAAAATATTTTTTTGGTAAAGCTTAAGAAAATAATATTTAAATATTTATAATTTCATTCAAATTTTAATAATTTATTATTGGATTTTTTACTATTTTACAGAATTTTTAATTCAATTAGTTATTATTCATAAAACTTTTCGCTATCTTGTAATTTTATTGCTGAAATTAAATTGTGTCATCTACATGATCAAATAATATAAACAAAAATAGAGTAGCAACAATCAAGCTAAAAGCTAAATATTTTTTAGCAATTCATAAATATAAGGACTGATTTGAATCTTAAGTGAGACTTGAGAGAATAATAAAAGGAGAAAAAAAATTAAAAGCACCTTCAAGGAAAGTTTAAAATTAAACTTGAACCATAAATTTTCTTATAATATTTAGGATTAATAAGCATTATAAACTCTAAATTATTGTGCAAATAGTATCATGGGCATTAAACTTTTGAAATGTGCAAAGACTTTCATCAACTTTTAAATTCCGAGTGCTTGAAACTTTATCATTAAGTTGGAGAAAATGACTATTATTTTTAAGGGTTAAGATGAGTGTCATATTAGCGTTAGACTGAATCCCACAATTACAAAAGTAACGGCTATTTTTTTTTAATTTAACGGTGAGGTTTCGAACATTTGGAGTTTAGAAGTTGAGGAAATTTTTTCACATTTTAAGAATTTAAGATCTATGATACTCTTTACGCACTAGTTTAGAGTCAAAAATGCTATTAATCCTACTATTTAAATGAATTTTCATTTATATTTCTAGAAGCAATTACAAAGTTTTTAAAACTTAATATTTTCTTATTATAAACGTACTTATTTGCAAAATTATATCGCCTACCAAGGAATGAAAGTGAAACTAGTTTTATCAAAAACAAAAAACGAAAAAAGAAAGTGAAACTAGTGGAAGCCAAGTAGGAAATCTCTAACAAAAGTAGTCAGGAGCAAGTGATATCGTACTGCAACTACCAACTACACAATTAAGCTCATTAGTTAAAATAAAATGAGAATGTGGCCAGAGATGATAGAAACAATCAATAAACTAAAGAAACCTACTTTAAAATAAATTTCACTAAAAGCTGCTTTTTTGGTGAGGAGAAAATGGTAATTGCACATGATTGCAAAGAAACTTTGATTTACCCGAAGAAGAGGGCCATGACAAAGGTAATGGCTGGAGTGAGATTGTTCATTGCCGATGCAAACGTTGCTGTTGTTAAGGCCAACGTCGCCAAATATAACGTCTGTGCCAATGTTCCCCTGTGTTATTCACAAATCATAAACAATATAATTATTATTATTATTTTTTCAAATTTTATATATTAATCAGGATTGCGAAATTTGTCTAACTCTCTTAATTAAAGCTATTTTTCTTTAAAAAGTTTAACCTACGAACTAAAAATTTTTCTTGATTCCTCAACATTTTCATTAGACTGCTATTTTGATTGAAATTTGAATGATTTGCTTAAATTTTGATTTATCCGAACATGACTCTGTGACCTTTTAGTTGTGTCCGGATAATGAATTCGTCACCGTTTATATCATGCTCTATTAGTAAAATGACAAAAAAAATAACAAGAGGGTTGGCTGAACAAGCTTAAAAGTTCATGGAAATTTATTGTTAAGGTGGTTTGATTTGAAGGTCAAAGACATATTATTTTATTTATACACGATTCAAATCTCAAGGGAAATTTATGTAAAATTTAATCTATAAATAGTAAATGAAAAAATAATAAACAAGATATTAATATTGATCCCTCACAAAGGTAGATCAATCAATCCACCAAAATAAGTACGATGATTATAATAAGGAAAAACATATATAATTGTTGCTCTCTATAGTTTTATTGGGTTTTTCTTTTAATCTCTATAGTTTTTTTCAACATTTTTAGTCCCTATAATTTCAGTAAATTAGTTTATACTTGTTTCTTAGGTCCTTAATGATATTAAATTATAAAGACTATAAGGACCACAAACATTGAAAATAAATTATAGAAACTAAAAGCAAAATCTAATAAAATATTACATATGAATTACACGAAAGACTATAGCTCATTTTTTTGTGAGATTTGATTTTGAATTGCGTATGCAGTGAAAAATGACATTCTTATTAAATATTTTTTTTATCAAATACAATAGTTTTTGTTAAGTAATATTTCATTTCCTGCTTGACCACGTGCCACATATTATGATTAAAATTATTTGAACTAAACTATCATTAATTAAATTTGCGTCTTTAAAATTGATCAATTCGTGCAACGTACGGGATTGTGGCTAGTTACACTAAAAGCAAAATAAATTGGTCACTGTTTAAAAAGTTAGCATAAAAAATAGTTAAACCATACCAAAGTTGAAGCTATTGGGATACCTGCCCTCACAAGCCAAGAAAATATTATATAACAAGGCCCAAAAATATTGTAAGTGTCCCTTTTAAAAAATTTCATTTGCCCCTAACATTTTAAAAGAATTCACTTGCCCCCTACAAAAATTCACTCCCTTTGTTAAAAAATATAAAGTATTTTTAACGAAATTTCACTTTCAATAAAAGTAGTTACTCATCTCTAAATTAACCATGTCCTTTCGTATTTACATATATTTTAAATGGTGTTTTATTTTAAAATAAATATAAAATAATTTATTCAATAGAGACACATTTAAAAAAAAAGAAAAGCAATGATTACACATAAAAAGAATAAAAATACCTTATATTTTTTAATATCTAACTCTTCAAAAAATGCCTTACATTTCTAAATGGAGGGAGTACATGATTTTATGGCCTAAAAGACTAAAAAATTTATTTCTTTAACAGATAGTCTTTTATTTTATTATAGTTTTATATTTTATGCATTCTTTTAGTATTTAATTTTATTATGTCATATCCTTACTATAATTTTATAAATATTTTAAAATATTTTCATAAAATATGAATATTTATTTTAAATATTAATTTTGCCCCACTAGTTTATCTTTTTGAATTCATCACTAGAACAAAACATTTCATTGAATTAATCAAGATTCACTATTCTCTTTTCAATACAATAGTTTAAAATCAAGTCAAGCAATATAAAGATAATACGAAAACTAAAACAATACTAATGAATTAATTAATACCCAAATAAGCCAGATATAAGCCCCTGAAACAGTATTGTCCAAGTCATCTTGGCCTCTTCTTCCTGCAAACAAGTCGCAAGCATTAATCAGCTCAATAGTACTGTTATACTCTATACAAAATATAATAAAAGCTTTAACAAGTTTCACTACTTTATGAGATATAAATAGTACCTCATTTTTCAGACTCCGTGAAACTCAAAGCTCCATAAGAAAAGAAGCTAATTAAGCTTATCAACAGCAAGAGTTCACCATACTTGACGCAGAAATGTTGCTGAGAAGAAAATGAATAATAAAGGGAGATACCTTTCGAAAATGAAAGCAAGAGGAGCCATGAAAGCTGTGGCGAAGACAAAACGATAAGCTATGACAATTCGCAAGTTCATGCCATCGTACACGACGAGTTTGTAAAGAATGTTAATCCCAACGTACAGTATCTGAACCACCACCATTAGTATGGTTGGTTTCAACCCATCCACCACCTCACTCACGTCCCTCATCGTCTCTTCCTCCGCCAGCGGCGACGGCTGGCCCCACCAGCTGTTCTGACGGTGAGCGATTTAGACAGATCAGAGATATATAGAAAGGGAGCAATGAGGCGAGGCACAAGTGAAGGTGTGTTTGTGTGTTTGGGTTGTAATAGGGGGTGCGCTATTTATAGAAAAACATAACTCTTAAAAATTAATGGGTCAAGTACAAAAATACTTAAAAACTTTTTTTCAAAAATTTCTGATACTTTTAAGTTGATAATGATGCATGAACACCCATTAATTTTATAAAAAATATCAACATCCCCAATAATTTAATAAAATAGCATGACATTGACTATTGAGTTTTAAAGATAGAAGTTGACAGATTGAAAAATATTGATCTCATTTATAAAGTTCATAGGTGCCTATATTTCATTGTTGACTTAAAATACCAAAAGGTTGGAGAAAAAATTTATGGGTATTTTTGCATCTTAACCCATTAATAAAACATTAAATTTTTAATCTACTTAAAAAATAATAAAATTTATTATCTATATTTTTAAAGTTATGGAATACTAGTGGCAGGGATTCTTCCATTATTAACAAAATCAATGAAAAAAATTATTCAAGTTCGCTGTGATAGTGCTTCTCAGCCTCTGCAGGTTCACTGAATGGTAAACACACTGAAAATAAAAGCTCTCATTACCAGCACTCCCACGTAGTGATCGACACTGCTAGACGTCGCATTCTACTATATTCCCTACATGCAGTGCAACTCAATATATTAACGCGTGTGTGCGTGTGTCTCAATGTCAATGTAACTGCATCCATATATCCAGAAGCAAAATATTGATATTTGAATATAATGTATGAAAAAATTTTAAGTTTTTGTAAAAATTATTATGTTGACATGAGTGTCGTACATGTGTATATGTGGGAGGACAGATAGGTCCAAGAGGGCTAATTAATTCAAAATAAGTCTTAGGTGTCAAACTTTAGATATTTGCAAGTTTGTCTCATGATTCTGTAACTTTATTGTGATGAATTTACAACTTATTTTTAAATTTTAACATGGTTGAAGAATAAATAAATTTGTTTTTCCTGTTAAAATTCAATACACAAGTTACAAATTTATCACAAAAAAAAAATTATAAAATTAAGAGCCAAAACTTGTAAATTCGTAAAATTTGATACTTAAAACCTAAGAGACCTCTAGGTCATTTTCCATGTATTTTATAGGTCGGTGGCTTCCTTATGTGTTGTGCGTATGTCTTTTGAACACTTGCCTTAACAATTTATAATTACTAATATAATAAACATTTCATAAGACTAAGAGAAAATTATATTATTGGCAATATACTTTAATTTAATTTCAATTTGGGATGGACTATTAAGGTTTAATATTGCTTATCATGCCCAGACCAATAAACAGATCAAAAGATTTAGACTGTTGAAAATTTGAGAGCTTGCTTATTCTTCACCAGTGACATGAACTGAGGAAATCGGAGGTGGGATACGATGCTTATTTTTCACTTATGCTTTCTGGTTCTTTTGGGATACATTGTTAGATATGACAAAATACTCAAGAGGGAGAGTGAATTGGATGTATGAGAAAATTTTGATTCTTTTAAATCCTTTTCAGCAAAACTATGTTCAAAAAAAGGTTTTAAAAAATTTGAATTCTAAACTACATACGTAAGAATGCCAAAGTTGTTTTCACAAGCTCAATATGTGTAAGAATGTTTAGAAGCAATCTCTAAGTGTAAGTTTGAGTAAGAGCATGTACATATATCAAATTATATTTTAAAAATTGAAACATAGCACAAGCTAAGGTTGCTGGAAATATAAAGAGTTAAGAGAAAAGGGATTGCAAACAGTGATTTATCTTAGTTCAGCTCCTCCTCTTAATCCTATATCCAATCCCTAAGCAACTATTTGAGATTTTTTTATTATAACACAAGTTTGAATGGATACTTGCCACCTCAGTATATCAACAAGTTCAATTTAGGCACTTATGAGCCTTTACAATAACTCACTTTACTAATTAGCTTCTTCTCTCAAGAGAACAACATCTCTTGATTTCAAAGTAAATCTCTTCCTCACCTTTATAAAGGTTTTGAGTATATGAATCACTTACTTGAAACTTTCTCTAAGAGTAATGATGAGTACAATGAAAATCTAACACTTAAATGATGAAGATATAAATGATATTGACTCAAGTACAATTATTTTTATAAAACAAGAGTAATATGACCATGAATTTCATAGCTCAATGATTCCTAAGGTTAATCTTTTATTAAGATGAGTTTGAAGTGTTAAATTTATAGCTTATGGAGTGAAATAAGTGTTAGAAATATCAAATGATTGTTAAGAGACATTACAAAGTGAATATAACTGTTGGTGTATTTTTTTGTGAGTTTTCAATGCTAATTTCATGCTTGTTTTGGAGGTTTTTTAAGCAAAAATGACGTATGTATCACGTGACTTTTGGAGTGCCTCAAGCATGATTTGGCTTATAAAACTTATTCAGTGAAAATGAGGCTTCTAGAGGTCATTTCTCTCGTATGTATATGTTGTTTCACGTATGATTAAGCATTCAAAGAAGTTATTTAGTGTGAAAATAAGCTTCTGGGTGCATTTTCACGCGTGATCGAGAAGTGTTCGCATGAGTTTTTGCACTGG